CTCTCCCTCTCCCCCCTTGAGGATCTTGACTCTGAATACATCTGCAGCTACTCAGCTCCATCTCCTATTGCCAGCTATGCGGCTATGGCCGCCTTCCCTCTCAGCACAGCGCTGCCCAACAGGGCTCTCGCGCATGCTCGTCGCAGATCGCGCACAAGTGTTTCAGCAGCACTTCCACACTTCTCATGAATGAGTGATCTCTCCCCTCAAATGTGGCTGGCGAGTCCTTACATTGACTTGGACTGAGCCTGAACTCGTCCCAGCCTCTGCTTCCTTTGGCTTGACTTGGACCTGGTACCACATGCACACGGCGTGCTTGCTTCAGAATGTCAAGGCCTGGTACTCTCGCGAATTTTCATTGGTGTGCTGCTGCCTGGGCCTGTGAGTCAGGACTTTTCACCTGTGGATCATGACTTTTGACTGTGGGATGTGACTCTTTTGCCTCTGGGACACGACTTTTGCCTGGAGAAGCGTCCTTCGCCTGTGGGACATGACTTTTCAATATGAGACGTGACTCGCTTATAGAATGCAACCTTTGCCTCTGGGATGTGACTGTTCACCGGGTGCCTGTTGGACTTGACTCCTGAGGTACCCGACTGTGACCTTCCTGAACTGGCCGACTGGGCCTCCCTTGGCCTGAGACCTTGAATTTTTGGGGTCTGCATCGTGGAATGCCTTTCCCTCTCGCCGTTCTAATTTCGAGGTCCTCCGAGAAAGTTACCATCTTTATCTGTCAAGTTGTCAACTATATTGATTCCTCTCCTAGCTCTTTCATAGTTAGACATTATCTGCAGTGCTGTCTCAATCAGCTCGTCTCTCGTAAACCAGCAATCTTCAGAAGGCTCTTGATAAGCAAATCTAACTTTATGCTGTCGCATCGGCCTACCCTTGCGTCCGGATCTATAAACATCCTCTGCAACGATGCAGTCCACGTCATACTTACCATCCATATCAGGTGGAATCATAGATCTTTGTGACGGAAACAGATCTTTGCTGACACAAGCGAGCAACTTGGAGGCAATGCGGAGGAATCTCAACAACGTATGGACCATCCACATCACCAATCACGTAGAGTATCTGCCACGGTCCCCTATAGGCAGAGGCAATAACTTCTGGGAAATATTCTCTTCTGGGAGAACTTGATAGACTTTACCCAGACCAAATCGCCTACAGCGAACTGCGAAAATCTGCGGTGTTTATTTGCTTGTTCTATCATCTGATGCTGTGCCTTTCTGATGTTCTCCCTTACCTTCTTTAAGTCTTTCTCATACTGCGCAGCGGATTCTCTAGTCTGTGGTGGAAGCCTTTGCACTTGATCAGGGTTTAGACAGTCAATGGGCCTGCGTGGGCGCCAACCCAAATGCAGTTCAGTGGGTGTTCGTGCTGTAGCCAGTTGCACGGAGCTGGTATAGGCACTAGCGACCTTAGCTATATGCTCATCCCAGTCAATCTCCTGGACACAAAGTGCTATTGTTTGCCATTGATCTTCAGGGTCAGTAGCGGAACGTTCTGTAAGTTGAAGAAGGCTGTTTGTGAAAATAGCTGGAGAAGATATCAGAAGTGAGATTGCTGACATGCGTAACAAAAAATCAGGTGAAAAACATGATCGCCGAAAGTTCAAGGGTTTCTGCATTCAGTCAATCTATGCAGAGTGTCATATTTTGAATCGAATAAACTGGAAAAAAGCGCACCAGTTCAGTGAGTGACTCGTCAATTCAATCAAATTGAATTCTATCTGTTTTACGGTTGTTATCGTGTTGCCATAAGGCCCAATGAACACATAGTAATGGAC